GAGCAGCAGCGTTTTGTCAGAAAAAACGCTTGGCGAGTGTAAACATGTCTGAATGCGTGTTAACGCTAGTGTGTGTTTAGCGCTAGAGCATTAATTCATTTCAATGGACAGAATAAATGTATTATTCTGGCCAATGAAATGAAGCAATGCCCAAGCACTTGACACTTGTAAACGAGCCTAAACGCTTGTAAAAGTGTTAGACACTTTGACATGAGTCAAGTGTTTTTTTCTGCCAAAACGCTGCTGCATTTTTAAAACGTCCTGTGTGCATGAGGCCTAAAAATGAACTATTCTTATTTCCTACCTTTTGATCTGTGTTGCCATAAAGTATATGTGAACCCTCACAACCTATTTGAAAGGTTAGCGTATATAAATAAAAATAATGTGCTGAATAAATACCTTTTTTTTTTCCTTTTTCTTAAGTAATCACACAACCTCTGTTCTCAGCTGCATAAGGGGCTTAGAGTGGTGGGGTGGAGACTGCAGGGGGCGTGCCAGCAGGAGGTACAGAAAAAGCAATACACTGATCTTCCCAGTGAAGAGCTGTGTAGAAGGGGGACGGAGGATATGTCAGCACAAATCTGATCTTTGGAGTACAGGTAGGCTGGGCTCCCAGCACAGCCAGAAAACTGATTTCCCTAGAAAGGATATGCTTCTATGCTTAGCATGGTCAGTATGAAATAGGAAAGCAGGGGGACTGGCAGGGTCAGCAGGTCAAAGGAAGAAATACAAAAGAGAACAAGATACTTTTTAACACAAGTACATGGTACAACAGACACATATCTGGAATATGAAATATTGGGGTAACACATACTTTAAGATGGTGGAGTAAATAGCCAACTCGCTTTTTATCTTGAACCAACAGAATGATTAGACTTTATGTTGTGGAGATGGGAGAGTGGAAGATCTGTCTGGCAAGAGGAAACTGGGCACAGCTGACAACATTCAGTCCACCAGCTATGGATGTGTGTTTTCAGCCCACAGCGGGATTCAAGAGCTGGGAGCACTTCTGACGGATCATCAGTTATTTTTCTGTACTTGCAGTTTCTTTAAAGTGGTTGTAAGCCCTCACATATACCCAGTGAAGTGACTGGCCTCAGGCGATGCACAGAGATGACACAAATCTTCCTACATAAGTTGTATACTGTCTATATACAGCAGGGGCGGACCGACAACTCATGGGGCCCCCTGGCAATAGGGGATCATGGGGTCCCTGTGTCCTTGCCCAAACTCAAAAAAGCCTATGAAAAAGGTACCAGGGGCATCTCATGGTCAGTCCGCCCCTGATATAAAGCCATCCTTTCTCTACATCCACTCAAAGTGCAGAATTTACACAGGATCTCTCAGCTCTGAAAAGCAGGGGGGTGAGGAGCTGAGGTTACATCAGTGAGGAGAAGGCTAAGAACTGATTGGAGGAAAGAGACACACCCCCCTCCATTCAGCACACAGGAACAGAGCTAAGCCTGTCAATCTACTGGAGGTCCCTCCACTGTCACCATTTTTCTCTTGGTGTCAGGAAAACTTGTCAGAAGTGTCTATTGCGTATAGCAGAGGAACGAGGTAGTGGACAGCAATAACACTTAGTGCTCTGGTTTGAGACAAGCACACACTATAGAGAGAGATGCTTTGTTCATATTTCATGTCTGAGGTTTACAAACACTTTAACCGCTTTAGCGCAGCCCCATAGAAGAAAAACTGCTACAGGGCGGCAGCTGTGCGGCTGTCAATCACCGGGTCCCGGGTCCCGGGGGGGGTGAAAACTGTTAGTAAACAAAATAGTTCTCTCCCCTGTCAGTGCCTGCACACTGCTTTGCATGGCTGTGCGTAGCACAGCCATGCAAAGCAGTGTGCTTACAGTGAAGCACTAACACAGCACACTTAGTAAAATGGCACACAGCACACAGTTAACCCTTTGATTACCCCACATGTTAACCCCTTCATGCCCGGTGCCATTAGTACAGTGTCAGTGCTTTTTATTAGCACTGATCACTGTATTGGTGTCACTGAGGATGTCAGTGACACCAAGTCAGTTCCCCCCAATGTCAGAATGTCCACTGCAGTCCCACAGTCCCGCAGCCCCGCTATAAGTCGAAGATCGCCGCCATTACTGGTAAAAATAAAACATTTTTTAAAATCCCACTTTATACACCGCCATTTGTAAACGCTGTAACTTTCACGTAAACCAATTAATTTACACATATTGGGATTTTTATTAAGCAAAGACATGTAGCAGAATACATTGTGGCCTAAATTTATGACGAAATTTGATTTTTTAAATTTTTTAACTGGACATGTTTTATAGCAAAAAGTATAAAATATTGTTTTATTCTCAAAATTGTCCGTCTTTTTTCTTACAGTGCAAAAAATTAGACACACAGGCGATCAAATACCCCTGAAACAAAGCTCAATTCGTGGGAAAAAAAGGACGTAAATTTAATCTGGGTGCAGCATTACATGACTGCGCAATTGTCAGTTAAAATAACGCAGCGCCGCAATGCAAAAAATGGCCTGGCCAGGAAGGGGGGTAAATCCTCAGGAGCGCAAGTTGGTAATCACTTGCCTATCCGGAACTTTTACCCCCTTCTTGCCCAGGCCATTTTATGCATTACGGCGCTGCATTACTTTAATTTCTCAGCGCTGTCACACTTTGAATGACAACTGAGCGGTCATGCAACACTGTACACAAACAAAAATGTTATCTTTTTTAGACAGATAGAGCTTTCTTTTGGTGATATTTAATCACCACTGGGTTTTTAATTTTTTTTGCTAAACAAACTTAAAAAGACTGAAAATGTAGTTTCTGTAATAGAATTTTGTAAATAAGTAATTTTTCTCCTTCACTGATGTGCGCTAATGAGGTTGCACTTATGGGCACTGATAGGCTGCACTGATGGGCACTGATAGGAGGCACTGATGGGCATTGACAGGCATCACTAGTGGGCATTGACAGGCATCACCGATGGGAACTGAAAGGCAGCACTAACTGGTACTGCTATGTGGCACTGATTGGAACTGTTAGGTGGCACTGATGGGCACTGATAGGTGGCACCAACTGGCACTGATAGATGGCACTAATAGGCAGCACTGATGGGCACTGATGGGCACTGATAGGCGGCACTGACTGGCACTGAAAGGCAGCTCTGATGGGCACTGATATGTGGCATTGATGTACACTGATGGGCACTGACAGGTGGCAATTATGGGCACTGAGAAGTGGCACTGATGGGGCTACACTGATCATCAGGGCAATAATGATCAGTGCTCTGATGATCATTGTACATGTCCCCTCTGTGGAATGCCGCTTACAGGCTCTCCCTCCTCACACACTGTCAGAGTGAGGAGAGGACTGCCGATAACTGGCATTTCCTATTTACATGCGATCAGCTTTGATTGAACACAACTGATCACATGATAGAGCCGACGTCATCTGCTCTTTACTGTGATCGATGATCCGCTATGTCCCAGGGACACAGTGCACCACCAATCGCTGCACCATGCGCCCCCAGGGGAGCACATGCGCAGCTAGAGTGGGAGGACATCATATGACATCCTCCCAGAACAAGATCTGAAAAAAAGATTTGTTGCTCTACATAAAGATGGCCTAGGCTATAAGAAGATTGCCAACACGCTGAAACTGAGCTGCAACACGGTGGCCAAGACCATACAGAGGTTTAACAGGACAGGTTCAACTCAGAACAGGACTCGCCATGGTCGACCAAAGAAGTTGATGAGACCAAGATAAAAACTTATTTGGTTCAGATGGTGTGAAGCGTGTGTGGTGGCAACCAGGCGAGGAGTACAAAGACAAGTGTGTCTTGCCTACAGTCAAGCATGGTGGTGGGAGTGTCATGGTCTGGGGCTGCATGAGTGCTGCCGGCACTGGGAAGCTACAGCTCATTGAGGGAACCATGAATGCCCACATGTACTGTGACATACTGAAGCGGAGCATGATCCCCTCCCTTTGGAGACTGGGTCGCAGGGCAGTATTCCAACATTACGACCCCAAACATACCTCCAAGATGACCACTGCCTTGCTAAAGAAGCTGAGGATAAAGGTGATGGACTGGCCAAGCATGTCTCCAGATCTAAACCCTATTGAGCATCTGTGGGGCATCCTCAAACAGAAGGTGGAGGAGCGCAAGGTCTCTAACATCCACCAGCTCCGTGATGTCATCATGGAGGAGTGGAAGAGGACTCCAGTGGGAACCTGTGAAGCTCTGGTGAACGCCATGCCCAAGAGGGTTAAGGCAGTGCTGGAAAATCATTTTTGTTTCCAGCAGTTTAGACATTATTGGCTGTATGTTGAGTTATTTTGAGGGGACAGCAAATTTACACTGTTATACAAGCTGTACACTCAACACTTTACATTGTAGCAAAGTGTCATTTCTTCAGTGTTGTCACATGAAAAGAGATAATAAAATAGTTACAAAAATGTGAGGGGTGTACTCACTTCTGTGAGATACTGTATATATTATATTTTTCCCTGACATACACTTTAAGCGCATTTTAGTAACATAAAGCTTCTTTCATATGACCATCAATTTATGCAGCGCTTTACTTTAAATATTGTACATTCACATCAGTCCCTAACCCTCAAGGGGCGTACAAATCTAAGGTCCCTAACTCGCATTCATCCATACACATACAAGGGCCAATTTAGACAGGATCTACTTTTGATTTTGATTTCATAGCTAAGTTAAGTTTAAAGTGGCCTTTGATGGTTATTGTGGACTTTAAATGCCTCTTGAGAGTTACAAAAGTTCCTTTCAATTATCCTGGATCTGTTTATTGCACGAAAAATTGGCCCTTTTATTTTCCATTTATTTCACAGAAAGACAAAAACAGGTAGCAAGAAAAAGTAAAATAAAAGCTTTAAAGCAACAGATTACAAAGAACACAAAGACACATTGCCCATTGTTTTTATTTTGTTTTACAATGGGCACAACTGGGAGTTTTAAAGTAAAACTAAATACAAAAAATTTTTTTTTACTTTTTTGTAGATTAACCTCTCTGGAGGTATTCCCGAGTGTAGCTCAGGTAAAGTTTCAGTACCAAAAATGGTAACCCTCGAGCTACACTCGGGAATACCCTGCAGCGTTGCTCTGGGATCCCTCCTGCACTTACCTTATCCTTCGCTCCTACAATGTCCCCCCTGCAGCATCCCCAGACATCTCCTCTGGCCAATGCCAGCATCCGTCTTCCGGGTTCCGTTCCCTGACTGCGAGTGTCAGGACGTACGGGGACGCACGGAACCGGCGGAAAATTAAAAAATGTTAAAAAGCGACATTCACTAAATACACTAAAATCACATAGTAAAACATTACTGTATCAAACCATTTCACATACATTTTGTCCCTAGTGCTTTGTCCTACGTTTTTACTGTTCTTTCTGCCTTGAAACTGAGAAAAGTCCATGGCGTCCAATAAGCGTCCCTTTAGGTAAAAAAGCAGTTTTAGACCAGCTAGAGAACAGCGATAGTAAATCAGAACCACTTGCAGAATTGAGTGATAACTAGAGATGAGCGAATCGAACATGACGAAGTGGAATTCGTTTCGAAGATTAGGAAAAATTCGATTCGCGCCGAATCAGAAAATTAGCAAACTTCGGATGCACGAATCGAATTTTCCCAAAAATGGCGGCGACATGTGAGGCGACGGAGCGGGGATCTCTGGGAAGGCGCGCAGACAAGGCGCGCTGACCCATAATGCATTCATTCATGACATGTGATCGCATTAGCCAATCAGCAGCCAGCCAGCACTGTGTAATGGTGGAGCTATAAAATCGCGGCATCTTAGAATTCTCCATTAGCCCTCCGGTCATTCAAGAGAGACAGACCTGTCTGTATTAGGGACAGAGTTAGGGCCACAGAGACTTTAGGGCCACAGAATCGTTACTCAGGGACACAGAAATCGTTACTCAGGGACACAGAATCGTTACTCAGGGACACAGAATTGTTACTCAGAAGGGACACAGAATCGTTACTCAGGGACAGACAGAATTGTTACTCAGGGACACAGAATTGTTACTCAGGGACACAGAATCGTTACTCAGGGACACAGAATCGTTACTCAGGGACACAGAATTGTTACTCAGGGACACAGAATTGTTACTCAGGGACACAGAATTGTTACTCAGAGGGGAACACAGAATCGAATACTCGCAGGGACACAGAATTGTTACTCAGGGACACAGAATTGTTACTCAGGGTTACTCAGGGACACAGAATCGGTTACTCAGGGACACAGAAATGTTACTCAGGGACACAGAATCGTTACTCAGGGACACAGAATCGTTACTGAGGGACACAGAATCGTTACTCAGGGACACAGAATCGTTACTCAGGGACACAGAATTGATACTCAGGGACACAGAATCGTTACTCAGGGATACAGAATTGTTACTGAGGGACACAGAATTGTTACTCAGGGACACAGAATCGTTACTCAGGGACACAGAATCGTTACTCAGGGACACAGAATCGTTACTCAGGGACACAGAATCGTTACTCAGGGACACAGAATTGTTACTCAGGGACACAGAATTGTTACTGAGGGACACAGAATTGTTACTGAGGGACACAGAATCGTTACTGAGGGACACAGAATTGTTACTGAGGAACACATAATTGTTACTCAGGGACACAGAATCGTTACTCAGGGACAGACACAGAATTGTTACTCAGGGACACAGAATCGTTACTCAGGGACACAGAATCGTTACTCAGGGACACAGAATTGTTACTCAGGGACACAGAATCGTTACTCAGCGACACAGAATTGTTACTCAGGGACACAGAATCGTTACTGAGGGACACAGAATCGTTACTGAGGGACACAGAATCGTTACTCAGGGACACAGAATTGTTACTGAGGGACACAGAATCGTTACTGAGGGACACAGAATTGTTTACTCAGAGGGACACAGAATCGTTACTCAGGGACACAGAATCGTTACTCAGGGACAGACACAGAATTGTTACTCAGGGACCACAGAATCGTTACTCAGGGACACAGAATTGTTACTCAGGGACACAGAATCGTTACTCAGTGACACAGAATCGTTACTCAGAGACACAGAATCGTTACTGAGGGACACAGAATTGTTACTGAGGGACACAGAATCGTTACTCAGGGACACAGAATCGTTACTCAGGGACACAGAATTGTTACTCAGGGACACAGAATCGTTACTGAGGGACACAGAATCGTTACTCAGGGACACAGAATCGTTACTCAGGACACAGAATCGTTACTCAGGGACACAGAATTGTTACTCAGGGACACAGAATCGTTACTGAGGGACACAGAATCGTTACTGAGGGACACATAATTTGTTACTCAGGGACACAGAATCGTTACTCAGGGACACAGAATCGTTACTCAGGGACACAGAATCGTTACTCGGGGAATTTACAGAATCGTTACTCGGGGACACAGAATCGTTACTCAGGGACACAGAATCGTTACTCAGGGACACAGAATCGTTACTCGGGGACACAGAATCGTTACTCGGGGACACAGAATCGTTACTCAGGGACACAGAATCGTTACACAGGGACACCAGAATTGTTACTTGGGACACAGAATTGTTACTCAGGGACACAGAATCGTTACTCGGGGACACAGAATTGTTACTCGGGGGACACGGACGGAATCGTTGCTCGGGGACACAGAATTTTACTCAGGGGACACAGAATCGTTACTTTCTGCTTCACAACCACTATTGAATTAAAGAGTATGTCAGACAACACGCAGAGGAGTGGCAGAGGAGGCAATGTTTCAGGAGGCGAGCAGACGTGGCAGCAGAGGAAGGGGTCGAAGCAGCACTAGTCGCAGCCAGAGGCCAGTGCTCCCCGGTGTCATCCAGCGGTCGTCGTGTCTCCACCGACAACCCTGCCGCCATCGATTGGTTTGACTCGGTCGTCTTCCTCTTCCCAAGGTCACCTCTGACACCTACAGCCAACGGTCGGTGGGTACGTCAGACCACAACCGTTAGTTGGCATGGCCCGGGAGCAAGCCCACTGAAATCACGTGTCCTCTACCTGCCCTGTCCCTTTGTGTTCCCCTCACCAAAGCGAAGTATCGCATGCTGAGGGCTCAGCCCCACTGTACAGTGAGGAAGAGCTAACAGAGGGCGGTCAGGAACGGGGGGAGACATCCGCCTCTTCACAGCCAGGCGAAGAAGTACTGGCGAGGAGAGTGGGCTCGGTAGCCGTCTAGAGACAGGTCTGTCTCCTGACCCCACACGCAGCCGAGGGGGCTAGTAGTGACGCGGAGACCCTAATTGATGATGATGAGGCTGATCGCACTTGGCAGCCTCGTCGTCATCAGAGCTATTGCTTCCGGCATCATCAGGAGATGAGGGTACCTAAGCTTGGCAGCGAGCAAAACAGTCGGTGGGTTGCCCAGGAGGCAGCAGGGTCGCAGCAGTGTCAGTGGAGGCAAACGGCCACGGGAGTAGAGCACCAGCTCCACTGCAAGCCTACCACCACGGCCAGTAGTGGTGCCAGGTGTGCAACGAGGAAGTAGCAGTCAGCCAGTGAGGAGTAGCAGGGGGCAAAGTTTTCCTACTCGGCGGTGTGGCAATTTTTTGTCAAGCCCGCCCGAGGAAGTAAACGTAGCCGTATGTCGACTATGTGGCCAGAAAGTCAAGCGTGGCCAGGGGGCCCCATGTTGGGACTACAGCGTTGCTGCTCAGCATATGCAAGCATCGCCAATTTGGTGGCCTGGGAAAAAACCGTGATAAAGATACGGCGGTTCTGCCTGCCCCAGCCCCCGCCTCCATCACCCGCTCCGTTACTTGCTTCCGTCACCCGACGTCAATCGCCCTCTATCAGCCAGTTCAAGGCTCCAACACCTCTGCTGAGGGGAGTTGTCGCTCGTTGGCATCTTCCGCTTGTTCAGATGCTCCTTCTCCTGCTACGCCTCTTCACGATTCTGTCAGCAGTCTTTCTTGGAATCCGTTTCCAAGAGACAACAGTTTGCGAGCACGCACCCGACGGTGCAGAAGCTGAACGTTCCTCCTGTCCAAGTTGCTGGCCCCCCCCCCCACCCCCCCCCCCCCCCCCCCCCCCCCCCCCCCCCCCCCCCCCCCCCCCCCTGCAGTCCCTCCCTTTCCAAGTGGTGGACTCAGCACACCTTTCCGAGAAATGATGGCTTGTTTGCCGAGCCGCGGTGGAGAGTGGCCAAGCCGGCATTTCTTCGCCAAAAAGGCAGTGCCAGCCCTGCATTCACATGTAGAGAGATGGTGGGCCAGTCTTTGAGCATGTCGGTCTCTGCCAAAGTGCACGGCAGCGCCGACGTGTGGAGCTGTAACTACGGTCAGGGACAGTACATGTCATTTACGGCACCCACTGGGTGAACGTGGGTGCCGGCACAGCCGCACCAGCAACTTGGACAGGTCACGCCGCTTTTTGCCTCCACGTTTGCACGTCCTTGGTCCACAAAAGATGTCCCGCCTCTACCACCTCTTCTTCCGCCGTGTCCTCAGCCGCCACCCCGTGCCAAGTCCCATTACCCGAGCCCGGCATATCACATGTGCAGGGCGCAACGGTGTCACGCTGTGCTGCACCTGGTATGCCTTGGCGAACGTAGTCCACACAGGGGGAGGAACTTCTGAGTGTAATGAACAGAGAAATCGACAGATGGCTGTCTCCGCGCAAACTGAAAATCGGAACCATGTTGACCGACAACGGAAAGAACATGGTGTCTGCTCTGCGTCAAGGAAGGTTGTGCCATGCGCCATGCATGGGCTCACGTGTTCATTCTGGTTGTCAAGCGGTTCCTAAAATCCACCATCCCACTGCAAGACATCCTTAAAATGTCACGTAAACTGTTGCATGCATTTCAGCCATTCCTACACCGCAAAGCACACCCCCTTGAGCTGCAGCGGCAGAACGGAATTCCACAGCATCGCCTGATCTGCGACGTTGCAACAAGGTGGAATTCAACCCTACATATGTTAGACCGCCTTTACGAAACAGCGAAAGCCATCACCGATTTCCTGATGTTTACAAGCGGATAAAGGTACTCCCCTGTGTAACTTAGATGTCAGCCATTGGCAGCTCACTGCGTGACACCTGCCGCTTGCTCAGGCCCTTTGAGGAGGCCACGCTATTTTCGTGAGTCGGCAGGACTAAGGGATGAACGACGTCATTCCTCTGTTGCACGTCCTGGAACAAATGCTGTTAACAATGGCTGGTCAGGGTGCGTAGACGTGGCGCACAGATCTCAACGCCACATGACCCCTGTGGGGGCAGGACAGGAAGAAGAGGAGGATGGTAGAGGAGGACATTGGTGCTCAG